ATTAGTCAAGTAGTTCACCTGTTTCGAGTCTTCTGGTTTTTCTGAGTGGTTCGTTCATCACGTGACAGACCTATAAGCTTAACCTATACAGTCTGAGCCGGAAAGAGACTTGATAACCAACTCTTTATTACCTTTGTTACTATGTAAAAATGTAAAAGAACCATCATGACAGAAATTCACACATTCATAAACTGTAAGAAGTAAAAAGCTACAATTTGAGACCAGAAACGCATCACGTAACTGCAAGAATATTATAATTATGATGATAATACTACTAATAATAATGACTATGCACCTGTTTGTAAGGAAGCTTGTAAATTAACTAATTTCTCTATCCAATGCCGTCACATCACGTGACAAAAGAACGAACGATTCAAAAGACTCGAGAGATTAACTAATCAATTCTCTTTCCGGCTCAGACTGCATAGGTTAAGTTTATGGGGCTGCCAAGTGATGAACGAACGAATCAAAACCGAAGACTTGTCAGATAGGAGGTGAGGTGAGCTAATCGTAGACTGAAGACCCAGGTAAACAATGAATTAATCTTGTCTGTTTCCTATAGAATTATAGTTTTGTATTGTTTGTAGAATTATCAACGTTTGCGTTAGTAGACGTGTTAGGGAAGTAACACGTAACATTTTAGTTACGAAATGAAATGACAAGAAAAAAAAAGATGAGTTCATTTTGCTGAACGAGACTCAAAGGTCTGAGTCGGTAAAATTATCCGAACTTCCCATCACTATTCTGTAGAGTTACACTCACGAGACTTCACAGAAGTACATTATTTCCACATGCTTTAAAGCCTTGCCGGTTAAACATTTTATTTGCGTGCTGTTCTAACATGTGCTTATTCAGAGCGCGTACACCCGAAGCGTGGGTACACTGAAAGAGCGGTCAAACAGCCCCTGATTACTTATCTTAAAGGGGTCATATGATGCGATTTCAATTTTTCCTTTCTCTTTGGAGTGTTATAAGCTCTTGGTGCATAAACAAGATCTGTAAAGTTGCAAAGACTAAAGTCTCAAATCCAAAGAGATATTCTTTAAAGTTGGGCAACTCCAACTTTGCAAGGACAGTCTGGCAATTGATGACTCGCAGCCTGTAAGTAAGTTTTTCCATTTAAAGAATTTGCCACTGACGATTCAAACTCGAGTTTTGAGCAGTGTAGAGTAGCGCTTGTTTGCCGTTTCTCCGATCACAAATGCAGACATGGTTTTAGGTTTACACAGCGCGATATGCAAGGCAACGTGTAAAAAGACAGTATAAGTCATTATAATCCATAATTATGTCCCCACTGGATGCAACGAATGCCTCGTTTGTAATGGGTTTTACTGGTTTTGTCTCATGCATCTGTTTGATGCACAGGCGCTCGTCACACACATGGCCTTCACAATATGGTAGGGGCGTAACATTTCAGTCACACGCTTGAGATATTCGGTCAATCACAATGCACTGGATAGCTGGCCAATCAGAGCACACCTCGCTTTTCAGACCGATAAGCTTTGTAAAAATCGACGCAATAAGCAATACAAGCAATTTACTGAGAAAAAGCAAGGCAAACGTTTCGGTCACATGTTGACCATTTTCAATGCCAATCTAACAATGTTAGAACTAGGAGCCATCTTAACTTGAGGAATCACATGATAATTAAAGAGAACACATGATCAATCAGGACACACACTGATCCAAAAAATAAATAAAATATAAAAATAAAAAAAAAACAATACCAAAAAAAAAAAAAAAAAAAAAAAAAAAAAAAAAAAAAAAAAAAAAAAAAAAAAAAAAAAAAACAAAACCAAAAAAAAAAAAAAAAGAAATAAACAAATAACCACAATGTGTGTATATGTAAAGCAATGGATAATCTACATCAAATTGATTGGAGAACAATGGTTTTCTGTTGTAGTTAAAGTACAATTCATAAAAAACAAGACAATTGAAGTTCTTCATTTAATCCCTTCGGATATACACAGTCCATATAATAGATCCACTTAGCTTCACCCTGTAACAGCTTTTTGTTAGAATCACCACCTCTTCTTGAACTGGTCAATCTCTGAATTCCTGTAAATCTCATATCACTAAGTTTATGGTCAGCATCTGCAAAACGCTATTTTGGTATTATGTGTTATAATTTTTACATTTTTTCTTTTATTTTGGATCAGTGTGTGTCCTGATTGATCATGTGATCTCTTTAACCATCATGCAATTCCTCAAATTAAGATGACTCCTAGTTCTAACATTGTTAGCTTGGCATTGAAAATGGTCAACATGTGACCGAAACGTTTGCCTTGTTTTTACTCAGTAAATTGCTAATATTGCTTTCATCTCGCTTGTGCCTCTTTGATAGCGTGCAGACTTTTTTCCAAGCTCTTCACCTTTGGAATAATGTGGGTAACCAAACAGTTGCTGGTCCCCCACTGACTTTAATAGTAGGAAGAAAAAAAATGAAAGTCACTAGTTTCCCACATTCTTCAAAATAATGTTGTATGCTCAACAGAAGAAACAAACTCATTCAGGTTTAAAAACTCAGTGAGTAAATGACCATTTTCATTTTTGGGTGAACTATTCCTTTAATGTTAATAAAATAAAACACAGAGAAAAATAACTGCTGCTCTTGACTGAAGAACTTGAAGTTGCTAAAGTTCAGCAGTAATAAAATAAGTTGAAATTTTCAACAACTTTTTACTTTATATCTTTTTGCACCAAATAGTATCGATAAAATGTAAACGATACCCATCCCTAATCTTGCTGCATACAAAATACATGCATTTGAGCGGTTAAATGCATTTAATGGCCAAAATGCACACCATAGCAATATATGAATGTAAACTTTGTTGGTCAACCACCATACGTTAATGTAAACAGGAACATTTTGTGGATATTTTGAAGAGTGTTTGGTGGATATTTTGAAAAATTTAAGTCAATGGGAACTGAAGCTGTTTTGTAATTAACATTCTTCCAAATATCTAAGTGTTCCGCAAGAAAATAAATAAATGTCATACAGGTTTGGAACAACATGAGGGCAAGAAAAAAAAACTTTTAATTTTCGTGGGGTAAAGTATCTCTTAAATTTTAAATAAAAGGCCTATTTCGCTGCACATTTCACCAATAAATTGTTTTCTTGAACACTTGATACTGCTGGTACTTGAAACACTTGGTACTTGAACTTAAAGCATTTGTCTATAAAAGTCTATATTGTTTTTTTTTTATATACACAGTTGCTTTCCATTTCTGACCGGTTTACATCACTACTTACTGAAAACAACAATGTAATAATTGAGAAACACTTCGAAATGTTCAATAGCATATTAGTGTTTACTATGATTTTGAAATTATCAAGAACCATGAAACCATGTCTTGGTATCAAGACAACATACAAATTAAAAGTTCATTAGGGACAACACTGACGTGTATACCTCAAATATTTACAAGATATTTCAATTTAACACAACTGGGACCAAAATGAGGATCTTTTCCATAAAGACCTGGCACATAAATACTGACTGTAAGACCTATTTACTAGCTTCTGACAGATTCAGATTATTACATATGATTACCCAACATAAATATATTGCACATCCCCAGCAGAAAGCATAGTGTGGTGCATGGCTAAAGTTAACAGATGCATAGCCAGCATCCTGGTTCTACAGTACGAGAGGTTCTGCTTGGATGGATTTGCACAAAGTGCAAAGCATTAAAGTCTTGCTTTCATGCATGTCCATGAGCTTTTATAAAATACACATCACACTCACCAGCTCTGATGTAGAACCAGTTCTCGTCGCAGGGAGCCAGCTCTTTATGCTTGGCCAGCTTAACAATGTCAACCCAGTCTGGCACCTTCAGCTTCCCCGACCTGTCAAAATACCAGGGTTCAAAATGAGCTTCAGTACTCACAGCCAAAACTATTTTATCATGGTGTCACAAGCTTATAAAAATAAGAACATAATCACTGAAGACAACGACAGTTGAACTGACTTCTTGAGGAAGGCTGCCAGCGCGCGGACAAACTCCTGCTGGTTGACGTCTTTCACTGTTACACCACCGCCTGGCATCTGAAAACCATAATCAATTATGAATTAAAATCACATACAGGTATTTAACAGTTATTTCCAACCAGAGCAAGTCACGTCACACAAAACGTTTAGCTAGCTAACATGAATAAGCTATATTTGAGAAAGCCAAGAGACAGCGTATATTGCAGAAAACAATAATATCAACTTATTGTTAAAAGTATAATTATAACAAAATAAACGTAACAACTCAGTTTTGTGCGTTCAGAAAAGTTTTTCCTCTACAATGAACTTTTTTGTGGTTCCATGAATGTTAAATGTTCTTCATGGAACCATCAATGCCAATAAAGAACCTTTATTAGTAGAACCATTTTGGGTAAAATGGGTAAAAATAATATTTTTTTTTCTAATTGAGAAAACCATTTCTAATAATCTTAAGAACCTTCTGTGCACTGAAGAATTTCCATAGATGTTAAAAATTCTTAATTGAACAATAAATGCCACAAATAACCATTATTTGGACCATACCATTATTTTTAATAACCATTAAAAAATAACCACATGTGCCTGTATATGACTTACACAGGTCTTTTGTCATGTGCATCAGCCACGCAGCCTGCATGCAGGTGGGACCTTGATCAATTCACAGTATGCCCATCACTGCATCCATCACTTTAGACCAGGGGTGCCCAATCCTGTTCCTGGATATCTACCTTCCTGCAAAGTTCAGTTCCAACCCTGATCAAACACACAGGACTGGGCACCACTGTTTTAGACCAAGGGGGTCCAATCCTGCTCCTGCCGGTTGATGTCCTGCAGAGTTTGACTTCAACACACCTGCCTGGGAGTCTGAAGGCCTTGATTAGCTGGTTCTGGTGTGCTTGGTTGGAGCTAAATGCTCCACACTTTTCATATTTCTGGGGTTCTCAGAAACAGAAGTCGTCATAGCCGGGTAAACTTCTAATGTAATTTTTGAGTTTCCATTTGCTTTAATAGCAAAAGAAAAAATCCACAATAACAAGAGCAGTTCATTTTTTTTCATGCAGTGAGGAAGAAAGTTTTTCCTCTACAATGAACTTTTTTGTGGTTCCATGAATGTTAAATGTTCTTCATGGAACCATCAATGCCAATAAAGAACCTTTATTAGTAGAACCATTTTGGGTAAAATGGGTAAAAATAATAATTTTTTTTCTAATTGAGAAAACCATTTTTAATAATCTTAAGAACCTTCTGTGCACTGAAGAATTTCCATAGATGTTAAAAATTCTTAATTGAACAATAAATGCCACAAATAACCATTATTTGAACCATACCATTATTTTTAATAACCATTAAAAAATAACCACATGTGCCTGTATATGACTTACACAGGTCTTTTGCCATGTGCATCAGCCACGCAGCCTGCATGATCAATTCTCAGTATGCCCATCACTGCATCCATCACTTTAGACCAGGGGTGCCCAATCCTGTTCCTGGATATCTACCTTCCTGCAAAGTTCAGTTCCAACCCTGATCAAACACACAGGACTGGGCACCACTGTTTTAGACCAAGGGGGTCCAATCCTGCTCCTGCCGGTTGATGTCCTGCAGAGTTTGACTTCAACACACCTGCCTGGGAGTCTGAAGGCCTTGATTAGCTGGTTCTGGTGTGCTTGGTTGGAGCTAAATGCTCCACACTTTTCATATTTCTGGGGTTCTCAGAAACAGAAGTCGTCATAGTTGGGTAAACTTCTAATGTAATTTTTGAGTTTCCATTTGCTTTAATAGCAAAAGAAAAAATCCACAATAACGTTTCTATGACTTTACAAAAAAAAGAGAGATTGATATCATTCGTCAGGAGAGAGAAAGATGTCAAATTTATCTCTGTCACTTCCTCAGCATTATTTTAAAAACACACAGCAGCGTTAACCAGTTTTCTTCAATTTAATGTCAAGGAAAACACAAAGTATAGTGCTATAAATGTCCATTACTTTTTTTTAAAGGATAATATAAAAAGCTAGATACTATGTTAATAACCATTGAAACATGTCATCACAATTGTGAAAAAGGTCTATTGTGCTGGGGTCAGTATGACCAGTATGCTTGAAATACTGGTTAAATCAGAGGTCTTCAACCCTGCTTCTGCAAAGTTTATTTTCAACCTGCCTCAGCGCACATGTCTGTGTATTTTCAAGAAGAGCTTGATTCGCTTCTTCAGGTTTGTTTGATTAGAGCTGACACTAAATTCTGCAGGACAGTGGGTTCCCAGGAGCAGGACTGAAGACTTCTGGGTTAAACTATTTATTTTTTCTTCATCTGACTTTTTCTCATTTAGGGTCATGAGTGTATAGGCTACATGTAAAGTTTTGACACATAGATGTCTTTTGGAAAGGCTGTACAAATTTTGGATGCAGGTGGGACCTTGATCAATTCACAGTATGCCCATCACTGCATCCATCACTTTAGACCAGGGGTGCCCAATCCTGTTCCTGGATATCTACCTTCCTGCAAAGTTCAGTTCCAACCCTGATCAAACACACAGGACTGGGCACCACTGTTTTAGACCAAGGGGGTCCAATCCTGCTCCTGCCGGTTGATGTCCTGCAGAGTTTGACTTCAACACACCTGCCTGGGAGTCTGAAGGCCTTGATTAGCTGGTTCTGGTGTGCTTGGTTGGAGCTAAATGCTCCACACTTTTCATATTTCTGGGGTTCTCAGAAACAGAAGTCGTCATAGTTGGGTAAACTTCTAATGTAATTTTTGAGTTTCCATTTGCTTTAATAGCAAAAGAAAAAATCCACAATAACGTTTCTATGACTTTACAAAAAAAAGAGAGATTGATATCATTCGTCAGGAGAGAGAAAGATGTCAAATTTATCTCTGTCACTTCCTCAGCATTATTTTAAAAACACACAGCAGCGTTAACCAGTTTTCTTCAATTTAATGTCAAGGAAAACACAAAGTATAGTGCTATAAATGTCCATTACTTTTTTTTAAAGGATAATATAAAAAGCTAGATACTATGTTAATAACCATTGAAACATGTCATCACAATTGTGAAAAAGGTCTATTGTGCTGGGGTCAGTATGACCAGTATGCTTGAAATACTGGTTAAATCAGAGGTCTTCAACCCTGCTTCTGCAAAGTTTATTTTCAACCTGCCTCAGCGCACATGTCTGTGTATTTTCAAGATCTTGATTAGCTTCTTCAGGTTTGTTTGATTAGAGCTGACACTAAACTCTGCAGGACAGTGGGTTCCCAGGAGCAGGACTGAAGACTTCTGGGTTAAACTATTTCTTTTTTCTTCATCTGACTTTTTCTCATTTAGGGTCATGAGTGTATAGGCTACATGTAAAGTTTTGACACATAGATGTCTTTTGGAAAGGCTGTACAAATTTTGTTGACTTGACCCGCATTTGGTTTCTATGCAATTCACAAAAATCAGCTGAAAAACAGCAAAGATGCAGGTAAAAACAACAACAACTTGATTGTTGCTTGTCAAAGACTAAAATATAAAACACATCAGAACTTAAGAAATGTAAGACTTGCGGTTTACACAATTAAAGACATTTCAATCGCTTTAATCTTCTTTATTCAATTTAATCAGACTCTTCATTCAATCCTCTGAAACTTCTGAAGGAAGCTATTTCTTCATCTATTTGAGTTTCACAGTCAAAAAATCTGTGAAATTATGTTTTTGTTAGTTTTCTGGCTCCCTATAGTCTGTTGCAACATTGAAAGTAAATGTGAGAACCCCATTTTCTCTCACAAGAGTTTGTGAACCAGACAAAAAAAAATAAGACCGAAATAAATACTATTTACACTAGTACACATTGTGTTAGATAGGGCCTAGTTACTATACTTGTAGTTATTTGCACACTAGTCTGTCTACAAGTATGTGAGTCAGATTGACCTCTAACACAAAGGGTCTATTTTTTAATATAAGGAGTTCATATTTTCTCATATTTTATAGGCTATTCTTTGTCTCTGACGAGCTGCAATAGAGGTTACACGTTTTAACATGACGTGAGTGTTTTTCATAGAGGTGATTTTTTGACAAATTGCATGGAAACCAAAGGGGGTCATTTTGACCCACAACACAAATATGCCCCTATTTTCAAAACAACAGGAGGTCTAGAATACTTTCCTAACCTTAAGACTTTCTTGTGAAGTTCAACAGATGCATTGTGTATTAGTACAACTTGTGTTGCTTTTTCTTAAAGAAAAGCAATGAAGCAGCTTTATTGAACCGTGGTAGAAATCTATAATTTCATACCCTGCTGAGAACTGAATTAGTTCATGTGCATCAACACCTAAACTCCCAAACAGATAAGCGCTTCCTCTCCCCTTCATTCTTCTTTCACCCCAATCATTCTTGCCATATCTGTTTACTTTAAAGATAGAGTCCTGGCCTGCGCAAATCGGTGCTGATGTGTGTGTGTCTGTCTCAGACTGTGCATATCTAAAAGTGTGTATGTGAGCTGGGGCCTTTATGTGTTCCTGAATGAAATTGATGTAGGCTATATTTATGGTGGCGAGGCTGCCCTTTGTACTGGCCAGATGGAATGGGCAGTTTTGCTCACACACTGTACTGAAGGGAGGAGTTGTGGTAAAAATGGTTTATGTTGATGTGTTCGCTCTGTCCATCCGCTCATTTGAGACCCACGGAATGAGCTTTGGGTGACGGAGAAAACTCTGAGCTGACAGATTTGTATTTATCTTCGCGTCCAATTACGGTATTTCAACAACTTGTTTCTCTCACCTTTTATTCAGTCGTAAACGTGCTGGTTTTTTAATTAACACATTTCCTGTTATTTTCGGCAGTGGAGGGCCGTGAGTCTGCGAGTGTTTGTTGTATCATTTGGACTCATAGGCTAGTTGATTAGCCGGAGAAATTAATTGTGCGGCGAGTGAAGTGCAGAAGCATTACAATGGGAGCGGCACAATGAGACGACTTCTAACTTTTACACCATTAATTATTTCAGCTAATCAATTTGTATGAGTGGGGAAAACAATGAAAGAAGAGCAGACCCAGCGGCCCAGCCCGCGCGTGTGAGGAGCACTGGATTACAGAGAGTGTGCAAT